AAGAAACACCAGATCTTATCTATCATAGCAACTATTTCTGCTGTGTGTATTATATAAACCAGATATTTCAGGATACAGGAATTTAGTTAAAGCCATGTCTTCTCCTGAGTTCTGGCTGCATATGTCATTCAAGCTTTGCTCAACCTACTGTATACTGATTGTTATCCTAGATTTGAATCTTGATCCTCCAAGTTTACTTTCCTATGTACATTGTCAAATCACTAATATCCTATTGCAAGTCATCTTACCTACCAACAGATAGCAATTTTCCCTGAAATGACTCTTCATTTAAGACTATATGTTGCAATTTTCTATCATTTTAGTGATTTAAATACATCATCTGTTTAATGTCCTGGTCTTGGCAGCAAAGAATTTTCTTGCCAGATGGAATATGAAAATAATATGAAATAAAACATTTATTTTTAATTGGGAAAAAAAAAAGTTCAGTTGTATTTGTAAATACCATACTGCAACTGGAATAGAGAAAAAAAAAACATTTTCCCAAAACATAAATAGCTGGCAGCTATCCCTCAGAAATAAAAATCCCTCTAAACCTAAAAGTAGCCAATATGTCACATTCTCTGTAAGAAACTGGTCACAGTTCGGTTACACACTTACCTTATGCCCTGTAGCAGTGAATAGGGCAGGCTACAAGGACATCATAACTACCATATAGATGTCTACATTCATTAGTTCCCATTTCTCTCTCACCCCTTTCACTGACAGTATAAGGCAGGTGCTTACAAAATTGCCTCCCTGAAATTTACTTTCATAATGTTTAACCTAACCGGATCTGACACCATGCACTGCATGGGTTCTGTTAGGAAACACAAAAAAACAATGTTAAGGGATCACTGCTTCTTACATCCAAAATAGAAACTGAACTACAGGAGCATAAAAGAATGAGATGGTTACATCTCTACATTACCATTTTGGTAATAAGATGATTTGGAGTTCAACGAATTTGATTACAGCAATCAAAGTAAATGAAACCGAATTAACAGTAACATATGTATGTCTGTGTGTGCGTGTGTATACATTTATACATGTTTATAAATAGATGTTTGGGGAGGCAAAAGTAAAATTTCAAGATTTAAAGGAATTTCAATGTAGTAGCATACATTTCAAAGTCAGAATATGCCACTGCAAGTATAAGCTGAAGTAAATTAACGCAGCCATAACAGTAATGATTTTCAGAACAGTAATAGTACACAGGGGTTTTTTTAGATGATATGTGGAAATTAATACTAAGCGGGCATTAAAAATATCACTACTCTGGACACTTTAAATCATATTAATTTTGACTTAATCTTAGATTAAATAGATAGTTAAAGCTTTTAAAAGCTATAAAACTGAAACCTTACCATTAGAATCACATCATTGATTGCTACATGGTCTAGCAAAGGCAAAAGCAGAATAAGGCCAATCATACAATTCTGTTGTGTTACCAGCAAGTGTATTTGCCACATCCACACCAGTATTTGAAGGACATTTTAGCCAGAAAACCTTTCCAAGACCTACTCGACTGCGTCTTAAGGAGCAGGAGGAGGAGGGAGGGTCTTCTACACTGCATCACAAAAATTTGTCCATGGATCATTAATAATTCAGGGTTTGTGAGGGCAATTATCCAACTATGACAGACCAATATTAATACTGAGGTTTGGTTTTTGCCCTTGGCAGTCCCCTTTCCAAACCTCCCTGGAAACAGGCTACATCCTGAGGACAGGCAGAGAGAAATCTTAACTGGAAAAGATAAAGCTAGAAATAGAAGTACTTCTTTTCAAAATCATAACATGGCTTTTGTAACAGTTCTTACCCAAACAGTGTAATATTTTGATATATATATATATATTACAAAAGGTCATGCACACAAATGCAGTCATGATTTCTCTAAAATAAACTTACATATCCAAACAACTGAGACCAAAGAAAAATTCTTCATCCAATCCCACTACCTATTGTGCCTTTAAATTGGGTGGGGTTTTTTGTTGTTGCTTTGGCTTGCCTTGTTTTTTTAACCTATGTTACAAAAGCTAGAGAAAAAAAAAAATGTTAACCATCAATTTCTTCCTTTCAGTGGAAGAACAAATAGCATTATGTTTCTTACAACACTCAAAACAGAGTGCGTGAATTTATATAAAGTAGGAGAGCTGAACGGTGACCTATCTACTACATCCACTGTGAAGTACATTTCACTAAATGCAGCAAACAACCTCAAGGACCAACCCCCAACAAGGTACAATGATGAAAAGAAAGATTCTTTTTGTTAAACTAGCATTACTAGATCCCAATTTCCATGTAAGTAAGAATAATAATCGCTTCATTTCTAACAGCAGCTAACAACTTTAATCAGTCCTGCCAGGACTAGAGACTATTCTCGAACTAGAAAACAAAATGGACTTTATAAATATCTTATAGTCAAAAGGTAGACCTCTTCTTGTCGTGGACTTATCTATTAGGTTTCAATTCATGTTGCACAGCCCCTACACTAGAATTCACTGCCTCTCCAAGAAAAAAGAGGTGTCCTTTCCTCTTTTGCTGTTCAAGTACATAGTTGCAGCTGGACCCATGACAATTACAGCCCCTAATCTTTTATGACAGGTAGGGGGAGTACACAGCGACTCCCCTCAGCATACAAGTCATTTCAGAACAAGGAAACAGAGCCAGAATTCACATCCATCATGCATCTTGTGCGAGCTCACAGGGCAAAGAGACCACATGAAATGTACCAAGCAGAGTCTTGAAAGGGATGTAAGAATTGATAATCACAAATACAAGGCTGCTAGGTATACTGGAACATTAGAAATTTTTTTTTTAATAATTTTCTATTGACCTAAGAAAAACTATTGACCTAAGAAAAAAATTCTTCTATATAGCTTTATTTTGAGCTGTGTGCAAGTTCTGCAATAGAAACAACATACAGAATTATTATAATACCATTTTGGGTACCATACAGTGATAGCAAGTATTGAAAAAAATAACTCTGAGAAATAAAGGTTCAAAGCATTAATGTTTAATCTAATTAAATAGCTTTAAGTAAAGCTAAAAAATAGACAAGATTTCACTTTATCACATCATAAAAGATATTAAGAGCGATTTGCTATATATGCTCAATGAAGCAATACCAGCACCAATTCAGCTAAACAGAGTTGGGTTGTATTTCACTTTCACCATTTCAAGAAACCAAGCATCTGTTGGTTCATTGAGCAGCAAACCAATGGACTGACCTGCTCCCAGCCATAGTGCTGAAACCTGAACTGCTCTCACCCAGAAAACACAACTGGACACAGTATAAACTGCTAGATAATAACCAGCAACAAAAGAGCAAATAATGTAACTCAAAGTGACTTCGTCAGATATGGCAAAATGTTTCTCTGCAGTTCATAAGAGAATATCTGGCCTATGCCAAGGATTTAACAATGAAATCTATTGTTTCAGTTTCTGGAAAAAATAAAAATAATAAAAAAAATTTTGCAATTTTTTAATAAAATGCTCTACTTGGTCTCAAGTTTCATAAAAACAGCCATGGTGCTGCCTGCAAAGGCACTTAGGTACTTTGCTGTTGTGGTCACACTTCAAGAAGGCATACTTTGCTGTGTACCAGATGTAGCCAGTTTTATTTCTGTTAGTAACTATAACGGCCCTTTATTTTTCTTCCTTTATTTTTTAAGTAGAAAAATAATCTGTCAGCTATAAAAGGCAGTGCTATTCCTTAAACACAGAGCAAGCTGAGGAGCCAGGGAAAGCCCAATTTTTTTTTCACCAAGTGGAAAACATTCTACACTGAAGGATGAAATCAGCATCGTGCACGTTAGGAGAGTGCCTCAAAACTAAAGTACCTATCAAGTGAACGTTTTCACGCTTTTCACTCCCTTTTTCTGGAGGTGAATCACCATCTGCCACAGACTGCAAGAGTCCAGGTCTCATCCAGACAGGAGGCACTTCAAGCCTGACTCGAGCATACTGGCGAGAGCACTCATTTACTCTCTCTCAGTCTCAGGGAGACTGGGTTGTACCTAAGAGCTAGAAGACACTGCCACTTGCCTTTACAGCTGGGTAGAAAATAACCATGTTAATAATGCATGTGTCTTGACATAATAGTTACAGACAGACAATAGAAATCTCAAACGAAAATGAAAGAAATACACAAATAGAAGTTTTAAGAATAATGTTCCCCAAAATTATTATTGCATATTTTTCTCAATATCAAAATATGAGGCATTCTAGATTTAAATTCTGCAGCTTTTTTTTTTTTCTAAACCAGTCAATGCTTTCTCTCTATTTTGTTACCTGCTCACACCATTTTCTCAGTCATCTTTTGCAGGAATATTTGCAAATCACTTTCTTGGAAATTATTTTTTCTATAAGCATTGCTAAATAAACAGTTCCCCAGTTTCCAGGATTTTCAGAGTGAAGTTATTCTGCTCATTTCTCCAGTTGCCACCCTCCCTACAGTCATACATGATAATACCACCAGGCTGAAAAACTTTTTGAGTCATGCCTCATCTCAGTGAAAATCAGAAAACTGATTCATCTGTGTAGCATACAAACCAATCTACTATTCAATAAAAAATATTTACAGAAATGTATCATTTAGTTAGACTATCAGTTCAGCTGTCATGCAGCTTCTCTTTTTGCCTCTAATCCTCACTTTGTATTTCTTATTTCAGTTCCTGTGAGGAAACAGCTTTAAACCTGGCTTTTAATCCAGAATGAGTTTTTAAAATAATATTTACAGTCTTATCTGTCCTTAATACAAGTGTCTCAGCTGCACTAAAAATGGCAGTTTATCAACACAATTTACATAAAATAAGAATAAAAACCATTGTCCATTCCTAGCATACTTAAATTTAAATTGCACCTGGAATATAGTAAATTATACAGAATACAGCAATAAAAAGAATAGCATCAAAAAAGGTAAAGAATATATTTTCATTTGAAGCTATGATATACAGACTGAAAATAAAAATAGAGAAGAGTCAGAAATGATTCATACTGACCTGAGTCCATAAAGGACTGTCCCATCTGGATGCAATCGGATCATTCTGTTCTTCACGGTGACACCATGCACAAATGACTTCTTGTCGTTCAGAAAATAGGTATCAGGAACCCACAGCTGATCAGCTACTCTGTTGTCCAGAGTAAGGTTTAGAGGTATTACATTGTAAGACAGCCTCTTATCCCTCCACGCTTGCTGAAAGTACATTGTCAAGGTATAGTCCTGTGGTTATAAAAACAAGAAAAAGTTTGCATTGAAACAGAGAGCATACATATGCAAAAAAAAAAAACACCAAACACCAAATTATACAAATGCACATCTATTCATTGCAACTGTTTTTAAAGGCAAACAGTGGCGTTCAGAATTTCTATAAGTGAATTATTTATTTTTACAGTACTGAACATCTTGTGTATACTTAATAGGAGAAATGAGAACACAGAAAAGATGGGGTATTTACATTTTATGAATGACTTGGAAGCTCTTATTTCAGTATTTAAAAATAAAACAGGAAAAGTATTGTAGAGGCTTAGCAGTCAGCAATTCCTGTAGCACTGCAGAAGCCTGGGAGTTCTAAGAAACGGAATATTCACAGATCTGAATTTCATCTCATGGTCTCCACTGTATTCAGTAGAGCTCTGGATCAGGTCTTGTATCTCCGAAGTTGCAGTTACCACCCAAACACTTCTCTAAATTAAAATCTCTTCAAAGTCTGTTAACTTTCCCCTGGGCACTGAAATCAATGGGAAGTCTCTGAGGTTTCTACGCAACAGAGCCTTAGTATTCTACTTAATTTTACAGATGAAGTAACTCTGGTTACTTCAATGGAGCAATTCAGAGAGCACAATTAAGCATCTGGGTAAATATCTGCAGTATTATGAGACTTGCTCTGTCTAACATACAGTACTTTGGAGATGTTTGACCTTGTAGTGTTTTAGAGAACAATATAATTACAAAAATTATATTTTTTAAGACATGTTATGCAGAGGCAGAATATTATCTATGAGCCTATATTAGAAAAACATCCATAAATAATATACAAAGGAGTTGTATATCTGATCACAGACCATTGGAGACTGTTTCTTACTTAAGAAATACCAAAAGGAGGAATATTCTAAAACCCATTTTTTGTTTTGCTTGTTCTACAGTAGACATGATCAGGTCCCAGCCTACTTTGATTTAGAACTCATATTTCACATGTACTTGATTAAATAGTGAGAACTGTTAGCTTACAAAAGATTGCTTTCAAGAGAAAGCCAACAAAAGCTGCTGTTATTATCAGCAACCCCAGGAGATTCAGCTATGTAAGAGTATAAGTCTGTATCTACACATCAGTCTGATGCACCTGAAAACAAGAATTCCCACCTAACTTAGAACAAATAATAAATTATGGTGACTATATCCCACAAACCAATTTCTAGCACTGCCTAACAAAGTAAAGTATGCAAGATACAAATATTTTAATGTATTAAATTGCAATACTAGTTCTCATTAGCTACTGGATATTTTAAAGGAGAGACCACTATTGAAACTGTTTTTATTACAGTTAGCAAAGAAATATTAATCTTCCTGCCTAAATACTTTAAAAGCACCTGCAATAACTGTATTTTACAAGCATTTTCATTTTAAAAAACACATGGTAGAATGTCACGAACATTAACAAAACTGTATAATTACAAGTTACACCAAATAAGTTCTTCCAATTATTTTACTACCAAATATATTTACCTGGTAACTACGCTAATCTGACCAATTTTCATTATTTGAAATCTCTTTCCCTTCCCACCCCCTCAGGATCAGGATGAGTCTGCTTTCAAGAACGTTCCACCTACATCTGAAGAATTTTACTGTTATGCTTCATCACTGTTCTGATTCACAACCAGATACCAGGAAATGTTCAGTAATATATCGCCAGTAAGAAAATATATTAAACTTCATTAAACTAATATATCACAACATAAAGTAGATGAGCTGTAGCAATTGCTCCCCTATTATCCTTGGAAGGTTGCTTTTTATTCCTATTCTAAGGAGTAATCTACATTTATTAGTATATTGCCTATATATAGACCATGCTTCCCTCTTTACACCTCAGTAAAAGCGGAAAAGAGGAGGAGGAAGAAAACTAAACATGCATGGTTCAGTGCATAAAAATGAATTACATAAAACTGTAAAATTGGAGCACTGGTATAGCTGAAAGAAAAGCCAAGCCACCCGGCTCGAGTTCAGAATCAAACACACTGTGTTCCAGAGACAGAGCTGGTGTTCCAACTCAAAATTATTTGTCATCTGTTGGCCCTAGTTTTTCAGATGTGACCAGAGTTTTGGGTCATCAAAACAGGATGCCTTAAATATGTTTTTATAAAACCCTCACAACCCTGATTGCTTTGGTTGGTTTGGTTTTTTGTGGGTTTTTTTTTTTAATTATTATTAAAAATAAATGTGTTCCAAGCTACATATTTCAAAGTATAAGTGAGTAGTCAGAAAAAAGGAAAACCTGTCATGTAGGTGCAATTCATTCCTTAACAAAGGAGGGAGGCATCTGTTTTCAAAATCCAAAATGAAACAGTAATTCAAAAAGATGATGTGGAGGTACAAAGTGTCCCTGAAGGATCCAAGACTCTTTATACTTTGAGATTAAGAATATTGTCATCTAGCAGAAATACAACAAGAAAAAGAGTCTGTTAAACTCACCCTAAATATGGGAATCCCTGTCTATTCTACGGATAAACATCAAAACAATCATGCAAACATCTTGTCAATAGGAAACCAGCAAACAAAAGTAGATGAGTAGAATTGACTAGTAAAGGATGATTTTATTTTGTTAAGGCCTTCACATCCTAACAAATCACAGGATGGGACTGTTAGAAGCTTACTCTAAGTATGAAGATGAAACAGGAGTTAATTCATTTAAAAAGCCTAGCACAGGGCAATAATTAATGAGTTGAAAGAAGTACCAAACCTCACAATGATTCTGTCATTGTATATGAATACACATATATAAACTACAAAGGTACAGATTATTTCCAATACAGGCATAATAAAGAGACACACTGTACAAATAGAATTAAAGAGGTTCATCAGTTACCCTGAGCACCTGAAGCTTGAAATGCTGTACAAAATTTTATCAGAATTGCCAAAGTTAAGCAAAACATAGAATATAAATAAATACTGGATTTTCTGTAAATACACAAATATTTTTATTTGTATGCCTTTCATTATTCTATTGGTCACATAGGTTTTTTTTTTCCCCAGACACAGAAATTGAAGCAACAGAAAATGGATGGTTACTCCTATTCTGTCCTGATCAAAAAGATCTCTTTTCCTCATCAGTTAAAGTTCAGTTTCACAATTTTCTTACTTCACACAATGAACAGAAGAGCAGCAAATATTAGAGAAAGTTAATCTTAATGCAATTTTTCTTCTGTGAATAAAAAAAGTAACAAACTGTTTTCTTTGTATTAGCATATTTATGAGTAAGCTTTTTCCTCAACCTTATGTTTGTGCAGTGGTTGTCTGCAAACACTTTTAGCTGATGAAAATGTAAATACACTAGGAGATTTCAAATTCAATTTTGATATATAGAGTTGTTAGAATTGTTACAGACAGCCAAGCTGTAAGTTAATGACCAGCAACTTAACAATCCAAGGGAAGATACCGTGCAAGAAAGCATCAGATCTGAAAACCTATACTTCTATAGTCTTTCATTTCATTAATACTTTCAAATAAAAGGTTTTTTAAGCCAAAAAACAGAAATAGTAGTTTGGCACTGCTGCTGGTTTAAAAAGATGAGAACACAAGTCTAAACTGACCCATGGGCCGACTACTGTGAGATATATATTTCTGGTACTCTTTTTATATTGGAAAAAGGATCAAGGCAAATAAAGAATGATATTTCATGAACTTCCACAATGACAGTGGGAGTCTAATACAAAATCAGGTGTAGAATTTTTCTAAGCATAAGGTGCAATGTGAGAAAAACAAGATTTAAAAACAGGGCTGATTTGACAGTGCAGATTAAAAATGTACACCAACATTTGTATTAACAGGCGTATAACACAGCTACCGAAACACTTTGGATATTAAAATCAGGAAACGATGGAGGAGATAAAAAAAAGTAGAACGAATATTCTGTATATTATACAGATAACAGCATGAAGTTGAAGAAATTATTTACTCATCAGTAACGAATGGAGAACTTATTTGTGGTTTGGCTTAAATCTACTTCTCATCACTTTCTGGTTATTCCTAAATTGTAAAAATACTACGTTTCCCAGTTTGACATTTTTAAAGCTAAATCATTTCCTTCTGAAAGCACTTGATGGTAAAGATTTTGCCTGAATACTATATTTACTTACCATGTACATTTAAAAAGCTGTCTGTTGATAACACATTTAAAAGTGCCATTAAGTAAATTATTAAATGCACACACCTACACTGCAAAATCTATTTTGATCTATTAAAAGGTATTATATACATAAGAAAAAAGAAGCAAATGTTAACTTTGTGTCTGAGGAGTAGAATTATCACCGATGTGTGTAGTTTCTACAGTGGGAAGCACACACTTCACTACTCTGATGTTCTATATAACAATTCAAAACAAAGTATTTTGGGCTAAAGGAGTTTCAGTTGATTTATTTCAAAAGCCGTGTCTTTCCCTGCGTGCTGACTGACAATCCTTTCAATCTTCATTTCATTTAAAACCAACCACTACAATGTTTGACTCCTAATTACCTATCTCACACATCAAGAAAGTTAACACAAGAAGTCTGCTCTATTAATACTAGAGACACTAAAGTGACTTACATAAGAGTTGAATGAACTGTAGAAAGAATGGGAGATACCAAAGAAGTGTCAAAATAAATTCTGTCATATGCTCTTTCAAAAAAGTATTTTTTACATTCTGCAAATTTTTACTTAAAAAAAAAAGACAATGACATCAAGAGCCCTAGACAGAGTTCAAGTTGAACTCTCTTGATCTATTGAGTTCTACTTCCCAGACTGGCTTCAAACCCATGAAACACTTCTAGCTAATTCTGTCTCCTGAATCTTACCAGGTAGTTTTTCTTGTCAGGAATTGCATGATCTGAAGTTTGCAATATTTCCAAAAAGGAAAAGATCCTAACAAGTAAGCTTACCATCTATTCTGCAGCAGCCACCCCAGAATTATTCATCAGCAATTCTCATTTCTCAGCTGAACAAATAATCAAAGAAGGGCTGTTTATCTC